ATTTAAGTATATTATATATAAAAGGAATATCTTTAATTCTATTCAATAAATAGGGGGGGTCAAGCTTAAATAAATTTCAAAAAAACTTTTTAAAAATAATTTTAGCAGGCAAATTTGCCTGCTAGACGGTTTAAGGGATAGATTATGAGTCGGATTATGATGAACCAATTCCGAGTAGTAAATTTTGATCAGATTCTGAGACGAGGGCCTTAATCTCTTATCTAGCAGACAATTTTGATCTGTACCATAAAAATAAATCAAAATTTTATGGCATGGCTGCAATTAAAGTTGGGAATAATAGAACTAGTACTCAAGTCAACACGAAAATTCAGTCACTTAGATCAAGATACGAGAATGAAAATAAAGAGGAAACTTGAAAAGCCAGATCAAAATGGCCATACTTGAATGATATGAACGAAATGCTCGGAAATAGAGAAAACGTAAAACCGGATTACTTGGCATCCAGTATTGATATGGTAAAATAAATTTATTATTGCTATAAATTCTTAAAGTACAGTCGTCCTTCTATATAGTTACCTTCTATCTAAGCATATCATGGTAAATCCTTTTATAATCACATCAAAGTCTGCAAATCAACTTATAAAAAAAAAACCTCTTATAAGCACATTATAGTAAAAACCATTATACAATCACTTAGTTTGCATGATACAAACTGCATGATTGCAAAGGAGGACGACGGTATATCATATTTGCATTTACTAATTATAAATTTATTTTAATACATAGAGTGATAACGATAAAGATCTTGCAGTTTCAAGTCATAAAAAGCGAAAAATCTCCGAAATTGATCAAATATATTTTGACGAATTAAGATCGTTAAGAAAAACTAAAAAAATTGGTTTAGAAATCGCACAAGAACGTTTAAAGATTGAGAATCAGAAATTTTTAAACGAGTTAGAGGAAAGAAAAGAAGAAAGAGAAAAGAACGTAAAAAGTTAAGTTGGAAAAAAGAAAAATTTGCGAAAGAACAAGAGTTCAAATTTAAATTAGAGATGGAACGGATGGAGAAAGAATTTCAATATAATTTGAAAGTTAAAGAACTCGAACTAAAGTACAAAGAGTAGTTTTATCTTTAGGTATGTAAATATCTTATTTCTAAATTTAAAAGATTAGCATTTTTGCCTTATTTATGTAAATTTAAAGTTACTATTCATATATTATTCAAGTACGCACACATGTACGTAGGTAGGTAACTTTAATATATCATATTATTTCCAGATTGTTATCGACTCTTTTATTTTATTCATTATTATTAGTAAGCGAAGGATCTTGTATTCAGCATATTCTTATCTATATTCTAATATATATATATATATGTCGTGATATGATCTTGTTTTTTTGTCTAGTTAGTAATCTTTATACTTGAAATAAAGGCAATAATATAGGCCATAAAAATTATGAACGATTAAGAAGCCGGGGGTTTTTTTTTTTTTTGATTCATTATATCAGATCCGCAGCTGTGTCAATACTAAAAGTCAGTTCTATGTGTATTGATTATTATTATTACTGACCTTTCGACCGGTTAAAATGTAAATTCTGACTAGTCATTATTTTTTGACCAGTCCCAATCTCTAAATAGCACCTGGAAAATGTGTACCGGGTTGGGTTCGGATGATGGTCCGGCAAATGTTTTCGAATTTTTACTTTTTTTTTTACTAAGACTTTATTTTTCAATTATAGCGATAATATAAAGTAATATTTAGTGCAATTTACAACACATATCTAATACAAATAAACTTGAATTTCAACATTATATTAGTTTTTTTTTTTTTTTAACCATTTGGTTGTTTTCTGTGATGTTCTTTGATAAATTATGTACTCTTTGCAATTAATCATTCTTTATGCCCTTCATTTTAAATTGATCGATATTTTCATTCTGAATATTTGTTGACTGTATGAAATAGATAGGATGCAAACTTGTCTATCGATAGAGATTCGGATTTTCGCATCCTTCTTGAAATATTCAATGTCGACAAGAAGTTGGCTATTCATTGTTAACGTTACTAATGATAAGTTTAAAACTTTTCAATAGATATAATATGCATATTAGATCTTCGTTGCTACATAGTTATTAAATAAATTCTGACTTGTTATTCATTGAAATTTAAAATATCAACCTAATTTAATATCGCTTTTAGACGACCGAAAATTGCTTATTTTCACATTGATTATTATAGTTTCAGCTTGTGACTCATAAGCGACGAAAGTATTTGGCGAAGTGACATAGGTAGATTTGGTTATTATAGCTTCAACTTGTGACTCATAAGCAACGTAAGTATTTGGCGAAATGACATATGTAGATTTGATATATTTTGTTTAACTAAGTCCTAATTTGATGGTTGCTTGCTTGTAATTAACCAATATAAAATACGTGTTATAACAAATTTTGCATCGCTTTTTTTTGCAAAAAAAAAAAAAACAAACGAAAAACATCATCGATTATTATAATTTAAATAAGTCTAAATAATGATAAACTATGACAGCAATTTTATTTTTATTAGCTAGATGACGTACGTACGTAATACGTAATTTTCGTTTCTAGTTCCGACTGTTCATACCGTTCCGACCTAGCTTTCCGGACAATTATCCGATCCCAACCCGGTACACATTTTCCAGGTGCAAATTTAATTTAAATTCGTGTGTCCGTTTTCTAATTGGCTTTTGCATAATCACCAGTTAATTTACGGTTCAAAATTTGCTGGTCCAATACAGCGCAGAAATCTATACCATTCATCATTAAACCTAGGTGCTGACAAAAATGCGCGGCAGATCCATGATTTGATTGGCTATACTATATGATCCATTTAAAATTTATCTTTGATTTAATTTAACGCCTTTGTACGACTTTACTAAAATCTTACACCCTGAAAGGCTGGTTAACCGTGATTAAATCGCCACCTAAAAAAAATTATTTTTTCATTCATTCAGTTCATTTACGCTTAGAAATAATTCTTGCTATCTGGGAATTGATTTCTACTGTATAAATTTTTGGTTCAATTTTTTGCTTATTTCAGTATTTTGATAATGAGTTAGTTGCATTTGGAAACTTCGTGATTTCACTAATTTCTAACGATTGTAGGATACTCTATATTGCTTGCGTATATCGATTTGATTTGCATTCAAAATTTTTTCATTTGTCGGATAGCTTTAATTATATACCGAAAAAAAAATTCAGTGAGCTAGACAAAATAATTGACAGTTAAAAGGGAAAAATCTCTCCAATCGCCTAAATTATGAGATACATGTGGCTCTCGATATAACGGACCATCGGTATAGCGAGAGTATTGCTTGATACGGAGAATTATAATGGAACCAATTTATGATTTACTATAAACTTTTATATAACGGAGCAAAAGACTTGGACCATCACCTCCATTATATCGAGAGCCACGTGTATTGCATGATAATTTGCTCGGTATAAAAGAATGCTAACGAAATTTGGTGTTATAATTGAGGCACTTTGATTAAATTTATTTATATAGTGCCATTTTTTTAATTTATTTTATTATAGGAGTTTGCTATTTACTACCACTGGTGATCATCACCAGTGTTGCTATATCTCAAAAATGTACTAAGTAAACGGGATCGGGTTCTCTAAGTAAAAATGTTCAGGACCTCCAAAAACCTTACAAAAACTGAGATCAGGCCCTATCGGGCCCTTATATTAGCTCTATAATATATTATATAAAAAAAAAATAATTCTTTAATTTCTAATCATAACCCTAACAAATCTTAGGACTGGTGATGATCACCACTGGCGATAAGTAGTAATTTTGTTTATTATAATTTGTTTATTTTAAAGGAACTTTACATATGTTTTGTACTTTGAAATCGAACTTTTATGGATTCTGAATCGACTTGTTTTGCAACGGAATTATAAAGAATTCAAATTCCACTTAATAAGTGGATCTATAATTAAAATAACTATTTTAAAAATCAATAAAAATATTTATATATAAAAAAAAAGATTAGACTCTTATTCATTAAATTGCTCTATAATCTAAAAACCGAGTTGCAAGAATACCGTATGTTACCGAATAGAAGCAACCAAAATGTTACAAAAAAAATGAGAACTTTTTCGAGCCAAAATGAAGGGGT